AATAATCACAAATTTTGTGTACATTTATTTCGGTTCCGTACCGATGTTTACAAGTTAGACGACTACGCGGCGCTTACGCGCTCTGATATTTTGATTTCAAATCAGCTATGCAGCGCGATTGCTTACAAAAATGTTTGAAATTTTCAAAAAAAAAAACAAATATAAAAACAATCAATAAGTTATAAAAGCGAATTTTTCAAAAATTTCAAAATTTCTCAAAAATCTAACTTTTTTAAAGTTTTGCAAAGTTTTCTTGTATAATTTAGTTTTTGGTACGGGAAGTTTCAGCAATTTGCCTTCAGCCTTTTTAAGAACACGATTATCGCATGTAGTTTATAAAATTATTACATGAATCAGTTGATATAACAGCATAGTCAGATATTCTAATAATTGATATAAAACTATATTGTTTCAAATTCTTACTTATGGGGATACAGATTGAATTCTAAAATCTCTTTGAGATATTTTTCTATGTACAAAATATTTAAGCACTATATTATAAGAACAGAATCCTATCATTTTGAAAATTTGGGACGCGATTCACAATATCCAAATCAAAAATGTTAGTTACAAAAAATATTCAAAATTTATAATATAATTATTGACAAGAAAAGTTTCGGAATTATCTGTTGATAATTAAGACAAACAACGAGTACATACAAAAAAATATTGTCGAAAACAGCACCGTTGAATTTTTATGGATGGTGATTAAATCCCTAATATAATATTTAAATTTTAAATATACAATTTTATACAAGTAGAAGTAATTATCTAAGATTTCCGCATAGATTTTATGCAAATTTAACGGGATAAAGCGGATCTAGAACAACGAAAGCATTCGCGTAGAACGCCACAGAGCTACAGTAATTGTATCATTCTAAACGTAATTATAATTTTAATCAGGACTTTATCTCAATTGGATTATCCTAGTTATTACTGAAGAAAGGATACGCTCTAATTATTTTATGTTATTAGTTTTGAAGCGCTCTTGTTTAATGACATCCTGCAGAAAAATAATCATCTATTAATAGAGGAAAATATAACGAGGAATAAAATTGTGTTCGTTTCTATCTAGAAAACATTATATATATTTATGGTCTAGATCAGTGTTTCCAAACCTTCAGGGGTCATTCCCATTTTAACAATTTCAAAAACTTTAGTGACCCTCATACAAAATATTTAACCCCTAAATAAGGTTTTGATTTTACATTTCTTACAGATCATACATTTGGACAATATTGGGGCGCTGCGTATGAGCCAAAACAGGATTTTTCAAAATTTGACCAAATTTTTGGGTCAATGCAGAATTCATTTTAGAGATGTGGTTTCTTTAGAAAAGTATCTTATTTTGATCCCTATTATCCGAAAATCATATGTGCCTATACGACTTTTTTACCCATATAAATCAAACCGCCCTAATATATAATTATGTGATATGAGTGGAACGAATATTAAATGTTAAATATGAACAAAACAACACTCAGATTTTTTCACACAACTTTATTTTATAATTACAAACGTTTCGAGACCATGATGTGCCTCATCTTCAGTGTAATTTCAAAAAACAGTTACTTATTACTATACATTCGTTAATATTTTATTTGAGACTATATTTAACTTTTGAATATACAACCACCATGGAATGAAATAAAACAAAACATGCAAGAAATAATTGGTGGTTTTATATTCAAAAGTTAAATATAGTTTTAAATAAAATATTAAAGAATGTATAGTATTAAGTAACTGTTTTTTGAAATTACACTGAAGATGAGGCACACCATCGTCTCGAAACGTTTGTATTTATAAAATAAAGTTGTGTTAAAAATCTGAGTGTTGCTATGTTCATATTTAACATTCAATATATATATATATATATATATATATATATATATGTATATATATATATATCAAATAGATAAGGTCATTGTAGAAAATATTTGATCATTACATAAGTCAATACCGTGTAATTCCAAGTGGCAATTGCAATTAGATCAATGTAATCATTTTTCGTATTTCGCAAACGTATTGCAATTCTTGAAATAATGACTAATACTAGACGAAAATCGATTAAAAAATCTGCACTTCGACTGCAATTGAAAATCGCTTTTCTTATTACCGAAAATTTTATCTCAGCTAACTATATATTCATTTCAGTTGTCTATTACATTTCCAGAAATTATTGAAATCAATATTTTACATCTATAGCTGTTGAAAATCTTCCTGGATTGCATATTGGATTATATTGTTATATTGAACAGTAAATGTCGTATAAATATATTGTTTCTAGTATCATAAATGCTAATAATTTAATAATTGTAGAATTTTAATCTTTGGAATAAAGTTGGTACTTTATGGCGTAAACTTTACGGAATCAACTATAAGAAACACCTGCGCCAACTAAATTTTTCACGTAGAAAAAATATAGTGCAACTAAAACCATTTCATGCACACTTAGAATGGCAAAAGCAGATTTGTTAAGATTGTAAATGCAAAAGTACCTTATTTACGTGGTCCCTCAAGACGTTGGAGTAGACCATAGATACTGCTTCTAACGCCATGAAGGTAATGAAACCCGTTATCCATGGCACTACCATGGCAGGTCTTTCCTGAAAATAGGAAAATAAAAAGCTTTTATAGAAACTGTCTTAAATAAAATTTAATCGTGTTTCACAAAACTCTAAAACAGAACTAGATCCTATTATTTAATCCTAGATTCTATTAATATTTATTATTAATATCAGTTACACTTTATGATAATACTAAAAATAATTTTATTGAAATGTCATAGTATATATTATATATTATTTCTTATATATTATTTTATATATCTTATATACAAAATTCTTCTGTGATGATGTATGAATTGATACTCCTCCCAAACGGTAATTCGCATTTAAATAAATCATTTTAGGGTTTGTGGAGGGAAATTTACATGATGTGCATAAAACTATAGTAATATTGTAGAAATAAATGGAAAAAATTGCAAAAAACAACATATCATTGTTTGACATTGAAAACATTTTGACATATGAGAACTATCATCTGCCAAAAATGTCGATTCACTTAAAACTTGAATTTAGTTTAAGCGAGTCTAGACAATATCAGTATATAATATCTATATCCATGATTATGAATAAGGAAAATGTAATATCTACAATATTATTGCCGAAAACCAGCTGTGATGTGCCAGAAATTAAACCAATATAAGATACAATATATGTTTGGCAGATGAAATTATATAATTTAGTTTAACAAATAACACAATACGTCCATAATTGCATAAACATTATTTTTTAAAACTTATGCATGCTGTATTTTGCTTTACTTTACTAAATTATTTAAATACAAAAGCATATTTCTACTTATTGAAAAAATGATTTAGAATTTTGTTTTATGTGTCAAAAATTCATTTTTGGTTCATCATGATCTTAGATTGAACAGTGCCATATGAACTAGACATTACAAATTAATTCACCTACGATTTCAACTAAAGTAATGATGTTTATCAAATTATTAGTAAGAAAAACGTAATTTAAAAGTTGCAATTGTGAAAAGCATCTAATATAGCAACTGAAGCAATTACATTTGTTGGAAATAAGAAAGCTGATATTGTTCTTTTACCATAGATGCTGTATTTATTCCTTTTAAATTTCTTATACTGATCAAAAAACTACAGTTTTCAATATGCTAATAACATAAATAGAAGGACATTAAATTGAATATTAAAAAGCATATAATAGGATATTTAAAAATTTGGAACTTAAATTGTAGACTGTAGGACAACGTCTGTCGGGTCATCTAGTATATATATATATATATATATATTGAATGGTAGAGTCTTGGATTTGTGTATATTTTGTAGAGTTTCGAACAAGAATCCAAAAATAATACAAAATAAAAAACAAGAAAAGTTTTTAAAAAAACAATTTCTTTATTTAATTATTTGTTTATTGTCGACGTTTCGGAACTAGGTACGTTCCATCTTCAGGACATCTGTCAAGAAACATGATCTTGATGAGATTTTTGCAAACAATATGTTTAGGAAAAGAAAATAGATTTTTCTTAAATAATGAATTAAATTGTAAAAAATATAATAATGTACAGAAATATGATAATAGTTCAAAATAAAAATGATAAAAATAAATGAGTGGATTATCAAAACAGGATATTAAACATAATAGAAAATTTTTTTGAAAGTTATGGAAATTTTTAAGAAAAGGTTAATGACAAAGTTGAATTAATTACCTGTATGTTTGAATATTTGTTAGCACTTTTAGCGCTAACAAATATTCAAACATACAGGTAATTAATTCAACTTTGTCATTAACCTTTTCTTAAAAATTTCCATAACTTTCAAATAAATTTTCTATTATGTTTAATATCCTGTTTGATAATCCACTCATTTATTTTTATCATTTTTATTTTGAACATATTATCATATTTCTGTACATTATTATATTTTTTACAATTTAATTCATTATTTAAGAAAAATCTATTTTCTTTTCCTAAACATATTGTTTGCAAAAATCTCATCAAGATCATGTTTCTTGACAGATGTCCTGAAGATGGAACGTACCTAGTTCCGAAACGTCGACAATAAACAAATAATTAAATAAAGAAATTGTTTTTTTAAAAACTTTTCTTGTTTTTTATTTTGTATTATTTTTGGATTCTTGTTCGAAACTCTACAAAATATATATATATATATATATACATGTATACATATAGGCGGATAGTATCTAGAATATTTATTCACATAATTTGAAAAGCATCTTATCTCCAAAAAGAAAATTGAGATTCTATCACAAAGATGGAGTAACAAGGAAGCAGAAACGATTCTCTAACGATTTTCGCTGATTTCACATTGAAACAATAAAACGTAATTGAAAAATCTGTGTATAAAAATGTGAATAAAAGATCATATCTTTCCCCAGTCATAAAATCTCAAGAGCATATCTGATCTCAAAATTTGCATCAAAGGTTTAATACTAGCTGTAAGTGGAATTCTGTCTTAAGGCAATTAAGGCATCGTGCCTTAAGGCAAATTGCTGGAACTTCCCGTACCAAATTTTTTTTTTAAAAACGATTAAGATTATTGAAAAAAATTTACTTTGAAAAAATAAGATTTTTGAGAAACTATATATTGGACAAAAAATTACTTTTTTTTGAAAAAAAAAAATTTTTTTTATTTTTTTTTTGAAAAAAAAAATGTTTTATTTTATTTTGACATATTTTGGAAGATCTAAACTTTTTTTCAGAGCAATCGTACTGCTTTAACTGCATAAAGACGAAATATCAAAGCCCGTAAGCGCCGCGTCGCCGTCTAACGCGTAAACATTGGTACGGAACCCATAGGAATGTAAAAAAAATTTATACTTATTGTTAAAATCTCTATAAAATATTTGATAATTTGATGTGCATATGTCTAATGATCATTTTTGACCGCCAAATGGCATTTTTTTTTACTTTTTTCATCAGATCTCCGAAACCGTTAGACCTGCCTTCATGAAAATTTGATCAATTCTTTATCTTGTCAATACAAGTAAAATGTTTTTTGAATTATTCAAATCGGACGCTCCGTTCTCTTAAAAACTGAGTTACCGTTTTCGGCACTTTTTGCCCCGTATCTTTGGAACGGCTAGACCTGCTTTCGCCAAAAACTAATCAGCACGTCTCCTTATTAATACGAATCGAATGTTTTTTGAATTATTCAAATCGGTTGATCCGTGTTCCCGAAATCGTCGACGAAAATTTGTATCCGCACATACATACACACACGCACATACATACATACATACATACATACATACATACATACATACATACACACACACACACACACACACACATACATCCATTTTTTCTAAGGTATGCCAAAATGTTCAGAAACCTCTGAAACGTAAAGATATATAAACATTTTCATTTTCGATTTTTTTGCGATTACTATAACTTGCCCTACGGGAAGTTAATAAAATTTACGATGTTTTCAAAATGTCTTCACATAAAACGAACTTGATGTACAAAGAGTTGAAAACACTCCAGAAAATAAAATGAAATGGCTTAACGTAAAAAAGCGGGTTTCATGTCGATTTTCTTTATATGTTTACGATCTTTTCTCTTACTGAGCTTTTGTTTCTTTCAATTTTTTTTCCTAACAAAAGCGTAAAGATGTAAAGCTCGAGTTAACTGAAGTACAGTTATGGAAATGAAAGATTTTTATAAAGATATATCTTCTTAGAACTTTGAACATATAATATTAGCTTCAAAATATGGTATGCACATATAAAATGCACATCACTTGCATAAGATGACGTAAATGAAATTGAAAATTCATATGGCAGTTTTGAAATATGAATTTCTCTTGTAAAGTTATGAATATATTTTTGTGATCTATATATGAAAGTAAACTTGGTTAAGTTTATTGGATATTAAAATTAAACAAAAAGTTAAACATAAAATGGTATTTTGTGTCAAATTATGTTCATACTCTAATATGTAAATCATTCTATATATTCAGAATTTGCAAATTAAAAATGTATTTGAAATTTCGTTGAATTCGAATTACAAAACCAATAATTAACTTTGTTACATTTATACGATATTCTTGATATTAATTTTGTCCATAGCTAAAGAACAAAAAACTTTCAGATCGAAGATGACAGAAATAATTTATAAAGCTAATCAATTGAAGGTTGTTTAATTACCATAGTTTACTAAAAACACTATTAACATCGGGAAAAGTTCATGTTTTGAATAAAAGAAAAAACAAATATTTAAAATTTTGCAAAAAAATGTACGAAGTTAATATCTCAATATGATAAATTTCAAAACCATCTAAGATTCTAAAATTAACAAATTTATAATAAAAACCAATCTTAAAATAATGTTGAGAAAATTGATAAATTAAAAAATTAAAGCACATTATATAAAATCAATAAAAAAAATTGTTATATATAAGAATTACAAAGAAAAATGATTATTAAAACATGTGCAAGAAACGTTTGGAAAACTAATAACTTCGTGAAACTAGTAGTGCATGCTATCGTGCCTTAAGGCAAATTGCTAAAACTTCCCGTACCAAAAACTGAATTATTAAAAAAATCTTTGCAAAACTTTGAAAAAATTAGATTTTTGAGAAGTTTTGGAAATTAAACTAGCTGTAAGTGGAATTCTGTCTTAAGGCAATTAGGGCATCGTGCCTTAAGGCAAATTGGTGGGACTTCCCGTACCAAAAATTATTATTATTTTAAAAACGATTAACATTTTTGAAAAAAATTTACTTCGAAAAAAATAGATTTTTGAGAAACTATAAATTTGATAAAAAATTACTTTTTTTTGAAAAAATAAAATTTTATTTGAAAAAAAAAATTTTTTTTTGAGAAAAAAATTTTTTTTTGAAAACAAAAAAAAATTTTGAAAAAAAATGTTTTCTTCATTTTGACATATTATGGAAATTCTGAACTTTTTTTCAAAGCAATCGCACTGCTTGAACTCCATAGAGACAAAATGTCAATGCTCGCAAGTGCCGCGCCGCCGTCTAACGCATAAGCATTGGTACGGAACCCATAGAAATGTAAGAAAAAATTATACTTATTGTTAAAATCTC